ACACAAAGAGCAAAAATAATCAGATGTTATATGCTTCCTTATGAAAGAATACACCACTACCTATAGTTTTGTCAGGGAGATAGAATGTGAGCCTGCAAGCTTCTGGATCCAGCTGCCAATGTGTGGGAAATAAAGAGAACAGAGGAACATGTTGAACTGCATGAGTATGCAATCTACAAAATCCAGACTGTGGGAAGCTACAGGCCAAATGCTCTGGGTTCTTTAACAGATGTATTGAGAGGAAAAGAAAGTAGTGGAGGGGAACCTGTAGATTAAAAGAGAATTTAAAAGGCCTATAAACACTTTAAAAAAGGGCTGAACAATAGTGTCTACAGTTAGACACTTGGGTGATAAAACTATAAAATACTAAAAGGAAGTGATTATTGTAAGAATCAGGATAATAATTACTTTGGGGGTGGAGCAGGGTTGAGATTGGAACAGAGTGCTTAGAGGAGTTTGTGGAGGGGCAAGCAGTGTTCAATTTTTTAGTCTGGGTGGTTGGTGTCAAAGATAAAGGTAGACACTAGGTAAAGTGTTAGGACAGATTTTAATTAGTAATATGCTATTGCAAAAGGGAAAAAGTCCAGTGTGAACTGAACTAACTTTATACAGATGTGACTGGGTATTTTAAAGGGATAATAAGGGAATAGGGAGGGTGGTGAGTAGGGACACAATACAGTAGTCCCTTGGTATCCCTGGGGGATTGGTTCCAGGATCTCTCTTGGATACCAGGATCCATGGATGCTCAGTCCCCTTAGTTGGCCCTCTGTATCTGTGAATGCAGAACCCACGGATGCAGAGGGCCAGCTGTAGGGTCAGGGAAGTGAAAACTTACATAAAGTGGGGAGAGGGGAGGCTAGTTCACATGAAACCCATCTGGATTTGCTAACTGGTGCTTACCCAAGCTTAGGCTCCTACCCTCCCACAGAGACTGGGAGACCAGCCCGGTATTCAGGTGTTGGCTGGAAGAAGCAATAAATTCTTTTGACAGCCTTGAGTTTTCTCAGGCAGGTGCTTTAAGTGGGGCTAGGGTCCTCCTAGGGACCTGGCCTTGAGCAAGTTAGAACTCATAAAAACTATGTTAGTGTTTAAGTTTTTAGGCCAAGGTTGAGACCTAGTAGAGAAGAGGACTCAGAGGAGCTTGGCTAGAATTTGGTGAAGGAGAGAATCTTTGTGAATGGTTACAAGAGTATTTGCCTTAAAATAATTCATTAGGAGATATGTGTGTGTGTGTGTGTGTGTGTGTGTGTGTGTGTGTGTGGTTTTCTGTATCTCTGTTATTTACAATAAAAAGGTTAAAACTTTAAAAATGAGGCAGTTAACTCCAGGTAAAACAAAGCAAAACAAAATTGTACAATAAAGCACATGTAATCATAGTATACAACCTAGCCCAATACTAAGAAGCATTAACTTTATAAGGTAAGCACTACATACTGATTTAATAAAAAAATTTGTGATTCAACTGTATAAGGAGGATGGGGGAACTGTAAATGTATATGTGAGGTGGCCTGAGAGACCTAATTCTCATTGGCCCTTATTAGAGACTATGATATAATTTCTTAAATTGATAAAGAAATAATAGTATAAGAATATTTAGAAACATGGCATTTTATAAAAGAAGAAATATCTAAGAGAATTGAAAATGGATGTTTTGGGAGCAAGAATTGAAAATGGATGTTTTGGGAGCAAGTAAGACTAGTGGGTGTAGAGTAGTAGAACAAGATTGCTGTTCTTATTATAGGCCTTGAGATAGGTTTTTATTTTTATTTTATATTAAAAAAATAAAAACTAAAAAGCAAATATAAACAGAACATTACCAGCACCTCAGAAATTACTCTGTGCCTTCTTCCAGTCACTAACTCCTTGCCTGCAAAGGGTTACCATTATCCTGACTTCTGACCTTAATATAGATTAGCTTTGGCTTTTTCATTCAACTTTATGTCTCTGGGATTCATCCTTAATTTTATGTGTAGTTATAGATTGTTCATTCTCATTGATGTAACATAGTCCATTGTGTGAACATTCCATAATATATTCAATTTATTGTTAATGGACATTTGGTAGTTTCCACCTAAACATGCTTTTCATTTTGAAGGAGTAATGTATGTATTTATTTGCTTGACTAATCTTTTAAAAACTGCCTTGATTTCAGTAAGAAATGAGAAAGTGCAGTCATTTCACTACCTGGATGATAATGTGGTTATTAATAGGTATTACTTGGTGGAGCCTAGTACTCTCTCCTTACAGTAAGTGTTCTCTATACTACATACTCTGATTGTAATTAGTGAACTGAAGAGTAACTACAGGGGAAATAGGTAATTTGGGGCTGCTGAATTAGGGAATTATGAAGGATTCCCTAATTCAGAAGTTATGAAGAATTGGGGTGGGTAAGAGATAGGAACAAATGTTAAACGTTTTGTTTTGGTTCAGTTCAACAGATGTATTTTGGCACTGTGGAATAAAGTGTGGCATTTAAGTCTAGTATCTATACAGTGTCTCAAACTGGGTTTTGTGATCCATTGCAGGGGTAGTGACGTCTGTTTAGAAGGTTGCCTCTAGCATTAAAAAAATTGAAATAGAATCAAAAATACTGTATCAATATAACAAGGATAAGTATTTCATGAAAATTTTGCTTCACTATATGTCTACTGGGTCATGTATGTTATTGTGGTTTGCAGTTAAAAATTTTTGAAAGCCATTTCTCATTAGCACAACCTCTGACTAGCAGACCACTCCATCTTATCTAATTGATCACTGTATTTGGTAGATTTTTACTTCACTTATGTTTCTCAAGTCTCTCTGCTTCTTTCCATTCTTTCTGCTGCTATCTTAGTTAACTCTCACTTGGGCTATTTCAGAATTATGCCATTTGGTCTCACTGCCTCCAGCCTTGCTCCGTTCATTCATTTCTCAACATTGCATTTAGAATGATCTAACGTGCACGTCTTCTCGGCCCAAACTCTCTCTCTCTCTCTTTTTCAAGTAGGGCTTTATTTTTCAAAGCAGTTTTAGGTTCACAGCAAAATTGAGCAGAAAGTACAGAGGGTTCCTACATGCTCACTGCCCCCGACCCTGCTGGAAAGCCTTGCCCACTATCAATAATCAGCATTAGAGTGGCACATATGTTACAGTCAGTGAACCTGCATTGACACATCATTATCACTCAAAGTCCATAGTTTACATTAGGGTTCACTCTTGGTGTTGTATATTCTATGGGTTTAGACACATATGTGGTGACACGTATACATTACATCATCATACAGAATAGTTTCACTGCCCTGAAATCCTCTTGTTCTGCCTCTTCATCCCTCCCTTCCCTCAGTCCCTGACAACAACTAATTTTTTTTACTGTCTCCATAGTTTTGCCTTTTCCAGAATGTCATGTAGTTGGAATCATACAATATGTAGCCATTTCACATTGGCTTCTTCACTTAGTAAATATACATTTAAAATTCCTCCATGTCTTTCTGTGGTTTGGTAGCTCATATCTTTTTAGGGCTGAATAATATTCCATTGTCTGGTTTTACTACAGTTTATTTAACCTTTCACCTGCTAAAGACATCTTGGTTGCTTCCAAATTTGGCAATTATAAATAAAGCTACTCTAGGGCTTCCCTGGCGGCGCAGTGGTTAAGAATCCGCCTGCCAGTGCAGGGGATACGGGTTCGAGCCCTGGTCTGGGAAGATTCCACATGCCGTGGAGTAACTAAGCCCATGTGCCACAACTACTGAGCCTGTGCTCTAGAGCCTGCAAGCCACAACTACTGAGCCTGCATGCAACAACTACTGAAGCCTGCGCGCCTAGAGGCTGTGCTGCACAACAAGGGCAAGACACCGCAATGAGAAGCCCATGCACCGCAAGGAAGAGTAGCCCCTGCTGGCCGCAACTAGAGAAAGCCCACATGCAGCAATGAAGACCCAATGCAACCAAAAATAAATAAATTTTAAAAATAATAAATAAATAAAGCTACTATAAATATCCGTGTGCAGGTTTTTGTGTGAACATAAGTTTTAAACTGATTTGGTAAATACCAAGGAGCACAACTGCTGGATCCTATGTTAAGAGGACGTTTAGTTTTGTAAGAAACTGCCAAACTGTCTTCCACAGTGGCAATACCATTTTGTATTCCACCAGCAATGAATGAGAGTTCCTGCTGCTCCACATCCTGTCAGTGTTTGGTGTTGTAGTGTATCTCATTGTTTATTTCAGTCTTTGTTTTTTTTTTGTTTTTTGTTTTTTGTTTTTAAATCCACTGTCTTTAGGATAAAGCCCAGGTGTCATAGGAGGGCATATAAGGTCACTTGTGAATTGGCTCTAGAACCAGGTTGAAGTTTCAGATCCACTAATTATTAGCTGTGTATCCTTGGACAAGTGACTTAATCTCTGCCCTTGTTTTCTTATCTTAAAATGGTGATAAGAGTAGTACCTACCTCTGAGGGTTGTTGTGAGGATTAAACAAGTTAATACATGTGAAGTGCTTAGTACAGTGAGTAACAACAGTAAGTGCCCAATAAATATTAGTAGTTATCATCGTTTGGTCCTCAGTCAGTTTTCTGTCGCTGTCACTTGCCATTTCAAATCATGTTTCAGCCTCTGCAATATAAAATTGTTTGCATGTAAAATTGTTATATTCTGTCATTTCCAGGCCTTTGCTCTAGAATTTCCTTTTCTTTCACTTGGCTAATTCCTACTCATCCTTAAAGACTTAATTTAAACATCATTTCCTCTGGGAAGCCTTTCTAGTCCTCCAAAGCTGGGTAATTGTCTCTCCCTAATCATTCTGTACTTATGACACTGTGGTCTAATTGCCTGTTTTCCATTAGATGCTAAGTTCCCGGAGGGTACGAACTGTGTATTATTTATTATCAGAGTCCAGAAACATGATAGGTGCTCAATATGTTTTTGTTTAAATGAATAGACGAATGAATTTCTGCAGTTCTCTGTTGTGAAAAAATCTAACTATATTTATTTCTATTTATTATCTCCTTCTATATTTCTAG